GATCAAAGTACTCAAATGGAACAATTGTTAGAGACTCTAAAGGGTAAGAAATTTGATTTGTTCATAAGACTATTTTATTAGTTGACTTATTTGTATGAATGCATTTTAAGGTCTTGTTCAACATGATCAAATCAAAGATGAAATAATAAAACAAAATGCTCTTCCATTTCTTCTCACATGTACTGATCAACTAACAGAAAAAGCATTGATTTTATTATATGAAATATTATGGTGTTTGGCCTTCTTCGAAGATATTGCATCTTCTTTATCCGCTAATCCGAACTTTCTTGACAAAATTCTAACTATTTCTAAAGACAGCAATAGCATGTCAATGAAAAGAGCAGTTGGTGGACTTATTTGGAAACTTATACAAGGTATGAAATATATATTCAACAAAAGATCAGTTTATTTGTAGTTTTATATATGTATATTTGTTGTAGAACCAGCATATTTGAAAAAAGTAGAAAAACAAGAAGAAGAGCAAAAATTAGAAGCTAAAGAAGTAAGTAAGACAGAAGAAACAAACCTTGAAAAAAATCGTATGAAGCAAATCGATACAATAGAAACAAGCAACGATGGTATGACGGCTGACACACGATCTTATCAATATGATATAATGATATCATATTGTCATGCTGACAAAGAACTTACCTATAAAATATATAAATTTCTTTCCGATCAAGGCTTTAAAATTTGGATTGATATGGATAATATGTATGGACCAGGTAATATAGTCATAATTAATTTCATAAACTATTTTCTTTTATTAGCAATGAGTGCTATGGCAAACGCAGTTGAAAATTCAGAATTTATTATCATATGCATGTCTGATTCATACAAACAAAGTGCATATTGTCAAGCTGAAGCTGAATATGCATTTAAATGTAAACGACGTCTTATTCCATTAATCATGAGAACAGGATATAGACCTGATGGTTGGTTAGGATTTATGATTGGTACAAGAACATATGTAGATTTTGGCAAATTTGATTTTGAAACAGCTTGTGAAAAATTAATAATAGAAATCAATTTACAAAAACAAAGTTTATTAGCTGCATCAGCTAGAAACAGTACTATGCTCGATCATTTAAAACCTTTTACAGCGGTTCGTTCTGGAATTAAACATTTTAAAAAACGCAAAGGTGTACCTTTCAAATATACGCAAAAAAACTCACTTGGAAATGATGACATATCACATGAAAATGATGACACAGTGTCGACAGTAAGCGAAGCACCCACATTAAATCAAGATTTTGTTAAAAAATCTATTAATCAATGGACAACATCAGACGTATTCAGTTTTCTTACGACTCATCATTTAGATCCAATAATGCCATTATGTAAAGAAATGAATGGTCGAGCACTTATACAATTATATAAAATATGTATAACACATAGACTTCGAGCATATACGATACTTACTGAAGAACTAAAATCCGAACAGGATATAGATTTATCTTTGAATGTTTATTCACGATTTTTAACTGCTATAGAAGATTCAATGCAACCTTCGTCGCAAATAGAAACACCACGAGAATTACCATCGGTAACGAATAATTCTCGAACAGCATTTCCTTCTATGCCATTTATTCCTGCTCCAAATTTGAGCAGATCTTACGATTTTCTCATAAATACAAATGCATCACCATTACATACATTACAATTGGTTGAGCAACACAGTCGTCAATTACAATATCTTGATTATCTACGTCATAGAGTTACAAGTACAGTCTGAATGTAAAAAATATGTTAAAAATGTTTTCTTTTAATAGTGTTCAAGCTAAATTTTTTTTTTGATTAAAAGAGTTTGATACAGCATAAAAAAAGAAGAAGAAGAAGAAGAAGAAGGCGAAAAAAACTAAAGAATTTTGTCATAAAACATACAATCAAGATGGATAACAAGCAAGGATTGTTCGATAATAAATAAATCATTCAAATAACGAAATTTAATAAAAAAAAATGACTAAGAACGGTTAGCACTTTATATTCCATTTGCGTAGACAACAATCATTACCACCAGTAAGTAATGTATCATTATCTAACCAAGCTAAGCATGTGACCGGATTTAAAGGATGAGCACCTAGAATAAACATAGGAACACATATGAAAATTATATGTATATATAGAACAAGATCTATTTTACCTTTAACTTGTGTTACTTTTGTTATAGTTTCAGGTTGATATATCATTAAATGTGTATCAATAGCAACCGAGGCTAATTTCTTTCCATCGGGACTAAATGCAAGACCTGTTATTGTTGCTGCATGATAACGCCACATATCACGACTAATTGGCTCGAAATTTGGTAATTGATAACATGTAATATTTTTCATATTATCAGCACATGCAAAAAATCGTCCATCAGGTGAATAAGTAACACGTGTTACAGCATCACGTAGTTCTAATACGCGAAGAACAGTTAATGCTGTACCATCAACAGCGAAAATATGAGTTTTATTATCCTAAATTAAAAATGAGAGAAAGAAAAATATGTTTTGAATTGTGTGTGTGTTATTTTTTCTTACTTTTCCACCAACTGCAATTTGTGTACCTTGAGGTGAAACTGCGATTGATGTTGGTTCAAAATCTAATGGATGTGTTACAAGGATACCTTGTTGTTCTCGATACATACAAATTGATGAACCACATACAAGAAAAACGATATTTAAATCACTAACAGCTACATCTCGTGGTTGACCAGATAATTTTTCCATTCGACTAAAAGAAAATAACGTTTTCTAACTATAAAATTCAATTGAAAAAAAGAATTTTATTTTACTCATATGATTCCCATGATGAATTAAATAAACGAAGTGTATCATCAAGACCAATTGATGCTACTAAACCACGTGAATTACTTGCTAATGATTGCACTTGATTTGTATGACTATCACCAGTAATATTGATCATTTCTCGTCCATCGACACTCCAACGAATAACAAGTCCATCATGACTACCACTGAAAATTTTTGTACCTTGACTTTCACCACGAGCAACAGTTAATGCAGTAATACTTTTATTATGACCCTAGAATATTAATTTTTTTAGAAAAAAAAAATTCTATAATTTCAAAAACAAAATTTTACTCGAATAGTACGTAGTGGTTTCTGCCCATTACGATCAAGATAAGTAATTTGACCCGAAAGTGAAACTGTAAGAATTGTATTTCCCGACCAAAGACAACCAACTTGTTGATCTTTTAATTCGCTGCCAAATGTATATGTTCTGAAAGAATTAAAAAAGAAAAAACAAATTCATTTAGAAAAAAAAACACAAAAGAATTTCAACTTACTGAACAGCTGCGCCTGTTGTTACATCCCAAATTTTTGCTGTTTTATCACCTGAAGCAGTTAAAATAAAACGACTTGTTGAATCCCAACATAAGCCATAGATTGAGCCAGTATGTGCAGCTGGAGCACCTAATTCTGATAAACGTTCACCTGTTTTTCCATCATATAAAATAACCTAATAGAAAAAAACATCAAACAATATAATCACTGAAAAAATACACAATTTATATATTAACATACACGACCATCAGCAGCACCTGAAACAAATTTTTCTCCATCAGGAGAATAACGAACAACATGAACGAATTTTTCATGTTCAGACATTGTTGTTTTCCATTTAAATGGTGGTCCTTCAAAAAATGAAACAGCATTATCTTCACTTCCAGTTATAGCACGAAATGGGCGTGTTGGTTTAAAATCAACTGAGTTGATTGGTTTTGTCATTCCAGATATTTCACCAACGGAATTACCAGCATCAGCAGAAAATACATGACCAAATCTTAACATATTCAATAAAAAAATTTATTTTATTTCTGTTTAAATTTAAAACTGTTACTTTTCTTTTCCTTCGCCACCAACTATAATACGTTGATTATCCGATGTCCAAGCTAAATCTTTAATTGAACCAGAAAATGGTTGAAATTCATTTTTTAATAGATGTTCTTTATTATCAGCACCCCAAATACGAACTTTACCATGATTATCTAAAAAGTATACAAAAAAATTTTCTTAAAATATTTACTTTAATCATATTTACATACCAGCTGAAGCAATATATGATCCACTAGGTGAATATTTAGCACATTGTACAGCTGTTGAATGTTCTGTATAGACTTCACATTGCGAAGGATCCTATATTTAATAATTGTATATATGAGGTTATATAACGATTAAACTAACTTCGATGTTACGAATAAAAACACTATTACCATTTGCATATAAAAATGTTTTTCCTTTCGGATCAGCACCTAATACAATTGGTTGCCCACGAGTTGTGCGTGGTAATGATGCATAAATAGATGCTAGAATAATAATTCATCTTTTTTAAATTAAACAAAAATTCTAGACTTACTTAGGGTGCAACTCATTTATCAATGATTTGCTTGGCTAGACGAAAGAAATTTTATCTAAAATAAATTTTTATTTTTTTTTTCTTTAAAAATTTTTTAAATGACATAAAGATTTTTATATAACTTTTATTAACATCTGAAATCCAACTGTACACATTAAAATGAAAGGTTAACTTAAACATGATTAATATTCGTTTTCATTAATCTTTCATTCTAATTTGAATATAATAGCTTTTTCAGAAAAAAAGTTCTATCACAAAAATCCATCGTTCCGACTTCATGTTTATGTCAAGAAAAATAATAATAATAATAATAATAATAAAATAAATAAATCGTTAAAACACACACACACACACATGCGCATTTTTCATCACCAACCAGCCCATGAAAAATATTGATATAGAATATTTTTTTCTTAAAACCAAGAAAAGAGTGGATAACGATCATTAAATATTTGTTTAAATTGTTTAGGTCCCGATACATCACCACCATGCGGATCATGCGTAAGTCGTTCAACAATAACACCAGGCATTTGAACTAATTGAAATGGAGATTTACCGTCACGCATTGCTTGTACTAAATTTAGAATCTAAAATACGTAAGAAACAGAATTAGTTTTTGTTTCAAATAAAAAGAAGAAAGGAATGCAAACTAACCTGTCCACGCATCACAGATAATTGTCGTTCAACAAAACGTCGATCATAATTTTTATCTTGAGAAAATAAACGTTGAATTTCATCACATAATTCATGTTGGACAAAATTCAAATCAGATAATAATGGTATTACAAGAGATTTAATTTCTTCAGAAAATGGAGTTTTAGCTTGGGGTAACCAAGCCCAATGGAATGGATATGTACGCCATTCATCTGGATGTTTGAATGGAAATGCAAGACCATTATCAATGGCTGCTATACGTATATCAACAGCTGGTCGTGTACTTGTCGCTTCATCTGTAGTAGATGTTGTAACAGCATTATTCAAATGATCGCCTTCATCACCACTACCATCATTTTTAGTCTAGATGACAAATAAAAAACAAAAAAAAGAAATTAATTATGGCTGTTTTTCCTCAATGTAGAATATAATAAATGATGATTGGTTAGTTATATATATACATATACATATTTATAAATAGAACTCGTTGACTCTATTACCTGTTCTTCTGGTTGTAACTGCGGGCTCGATAGTGCTTGAAGAAGCTGAAGCAAGACAGAAAAGAAAATAGACAATGACAAATAAAAGAAAAACAATTTGGGTATCGTGTAACATATCAAGCGTATGTATACTGTTGACAACTATATATCCACTTACCATATCACGTTCGCTGTTCGTTTTAACTTCATATTTAACCAACCAATTACCATTATTGCGATCTATAATTAATAAAAATAAATTTTTTTTTCAAAAACTATATCATTCTAAATGTCCTCAAATTTGTTATTTGACATGAGATTTTATACTGACTATTAAATGTATCTATTTTACAAAAAAATTCAATTTCAACAATTCAGTGTAAACGGTTATAAAACTGAATCCCATTGAGACTGAAAAATGAATTCGGAAGCTCGAAATTAGTTGAGACGAGACCTTGAATAGATAAACTAATCATCACTCTCAATGCTCAAGGTCAATAGATAAAAAATACAACGAAACAAATTCTTATTCTTGTTAAACAATGATTATATTTACATAGGATTATATATATATCATTTGTCAACAATAGTGTCTACTTGTAAAATGAAAAGAATCATTAACCTACTTAAATCTTAATAAAAAGAAAAGAAAAAGGAGTGTCTATTTTACCTGTATTGCGAATAATATAATCCAAGACAACAAGTCTTTCAAATTGTCTTTGGAATTGTTTCGTTACATCTTCTGGTAATGAATCATGATCTAATTGTTTAAGAAACACATCTGCATCAACATAATTTTCAACAAATAATTGAAAAGATCCAATCTAGATTTATTTTTAAAAAATAATGAATAGAAAAGAAAAATTAAATTTCTCTTTACTTTAGGTGGTAATCCTTTTGGTTGAAATACTCGTCTACCATGCATACGTCGCCCAACACTTTCATTGATTTCACGTTTGGCTGTTATTAAATGTCGTTGATATGCTGGATAATTAAATGAGTCAGCTGCTAAACGAACAGCTCGTGTTTTCGGTACTATATTAAGACGAAGTTTCGTATCTATAATACTAGCACCAGCTTCGGATAGATAGCCTTGATTAGGAATAAGGCAACCACGACCAAAACAACACGGACAAAGAGTTTTGTGTAACCTATAAGAAAAATAATTATAAAAGAAATTTTATTATAAAATTAATTAACCATTTTGTCCATTTGGGATTAAAACGACCATATGGTTCTTCATCTTTTGGTTTAAATACTCCAATTGTTTTCTATTAAATGAGAAAATTATGATATTTTAATGAGAAAATTGAATGACATACTCCTTCGAGATTTCGAACAAAATATGAGCCAGATGAACCAGCTGCTATTCGTACTGGTAATATGCTACCTTCAATAGCTCTTTCAGCTTGTTTAATAACCTCAGCATATTCAGGATCATCTGTTATATTTGTATTCCATGGAGGTAAATGCGGATTATCTGCTAATTCCATATTCGGAGTTCCTGGACTTGATGGGGGTAAAAGTGGTTGATTTTCACTCGATACAATACAAACGTCTGGCAATGTATTATTAGTTACATTAATTACTGTATGTTCATCAACATCAGAATTCATTCTATTCAAAATAAGAAGAAGAAAAAAACATGATTATTTTATCGAAAAAAAAATTAAATTTAAAAATAAATAAATGTTATTTTTTTTAGCAGCAGTGCAAGAAAAATACCTCGTTAGTAACTTTTGAGTTCTTAGTAGGTTCTCTATGTATATACATATATATATTAAATTATTTGTTTTGATGACAAAGCAATTTAGAAAAAAAATATATAGTTAAAAGCGAAACATGCACTCACTATCTTGCTGCTGTTTTTGTTCATGATTTGAGTTATCAGGAAGAGTATTCGATCTCAAGACTAACTCGATTTCTATTATTTCTCACTTTCTTGATCGGTCAGATGCTTGTAGGAAAATAATTGACGAGTAAAAATGATGAGCTGATGTGGAACGATATGAATCATTATAATCTGGCATTCAATTACGTTCCAATTGAAAATAATTTCAAAAATTCCTAAATTTAATTATTATATATAATAGAATTCTATAAGTTTCGAAATGAAATGATAAACAAATTTACTTTCAGAATTTATACGAAAAACATTGAATAGATGGCGTTGTTGTTCACAATGAATAAGTCAGAGCGATAACATGATATTGCCTTAAAAGGTAATAGTCGAGACGACTATTAATAATAGTTGTCATATCATGAAGCGATGATCTATCGTATAAAAAGTGATAGTTGTTTATGAGTAATAAAACGTGTATATAATAATTATTGATACGAATTTAATTCAGACAGAATTTTCATTATAAAGTATTTATGTTTACCGTGATTTAATGATGGTAGTTAATATATAAATTATATGTTTGTTTCTTATTTAAATATTTAAGTAACTGAATTCTAATCGTTAAATTTAACGATATATTTCTTGCATGACTGAGTATACTTACTGATCAGGTGATAAACAAAATAGTGACACAAATTTGCAGTAGGATTAATCGTTTCTCGTCTACAAGGTAAGTTTGTTTCGTTTTTGTAAGAGAAAACAAGGATAATTTCAAATGTTTACATACAAAATAATCTTCGATATTCGTAGAAATTCTTTTTATCTATTAAAATATCAAGTTTTATGATTAAAAAAGCTTCTATAATAGTATTGAAAAATCTCTAATAACTAACTGTTTTTTAATATCATGCATGTCGATAACTTCTAGAGAATATATTATAAACAAAATATTATTCAAATTGTAAAAAGGACTTGCCTGACCTATATATATATATAAACGGTAAAAATGATCATTAAAAGTTATTAATAAATGATTTTAATTACTTCTGAAATATCCTATTAGATATAATACTTTAATAAATGTTTCAACTTATTATTCTTATAACTTCGTTTTTTAAAATTATCTTTATCAAATATTATTAAATGAAAAACCTGACAATAAATATTACGCCGTTATATTTCAAACACATATATATATATGCATTATCAACTAATGAAGTTAATATGCTTTCCTAAATATTTTGTTTTCATGTCTGCATTCTTTTGTTATTTTTCTTCTTCAATAGATTCATTCATGTCGATATAAACATAAAAGAAAAAGTTTTATAAATCTGCGAAGTATATATTAAATATTTGATAGAAATATCGAGCAACATCTAAATCGTAGATCTGTCATATTTGACGTTATCCTTAGAATATTTCAGCGTCTGTCCCGTTCTTAGATACTTGACATATGATAATCTATTATTATAATTATCATAGACATTATTTCCATCCGATTCTGTTTTGTCACATAAACAAAATCATTTAAGTAGAGCATTTCTTCCAAAACGAGGCAAATTTTGCAGGAATAATTATTACTTTTATATACTAACCGATGTTTTAATATATTATTATTTTATTACATTTATGTCAGGTAAATAGATAAACAGTCATTAGTAGTATGAAAAGTACCCTTTTTTCATGTTTAGATTCTAATCAATGACTAATGTTTTATAAAACTTGACATATATGACTATACCCTGGTTTTTTTCAAAACTCTTATTCATTAATAGATCAACATTTTTTCTGTTCTATATGTCACTGAAGGCTTGAAAATAAGTACAATTTTAATCTTATTTTTATATTCGAGATATGATTATCAACATAAAAATAGTATCTGTAATAAAAGAAGACAAAAAACGAATATACTTGATTACTCTTATTATCATTTATATTCATAGAAATTTTCATAGATAATAATGTTAACATAATTAAATTAGTACTTTCTTTTCATTCTTTTGTGTCTGTAATTTGTTTGTAAATGACGAATAAGAAAGAAAACTAATGAAAAACATTCTTATGCCATTCAATATTGTCTTCGAGGGAAAAAAGCATGTTTTTCATTATTATTTTATATTATTTTGTTTTCTTAATAATTCATAATCAATGTAAAATAATAATATCTCCTCCGAAACACTGGGTAAAACATGCGCATATACCACATGAAAGTCGTTATGAAAATTTCTATTTTTATCTTAAACAAAAAAATAATGAAATATTAAATAAACATCTTCATTTAATTTCAAATCCTCGTCATAATCTATACCATAATACATCTTGGTTAACACTCGATCAAATAATCCGAATAGTTAAACCAGATTCAATATCTATTAAAGTAAGATTAACACAAAAAAACATCAATAGATCATATGTTATTTTTATGATTTAGCGTTTATATTATTATCTTTGGAGTAATGGAATAAACTTAAAAGAATGCCGTCATAGTCGCGATGGAGGAATTCTTGTTTGTCCAATATTATTGACAAAAGCGAATAAAATTTTATCTGCAAATTATACAGATTTCCGACATCGTATCAAAAATATAAATATTACTCGAACATTATCATTTATTTTACCGAATTATCTATCGAATCATATTGTAACAATTTCACCAACAACAGTATTTCCTGATCTTTCGTTATTTCATAATTCAATCACATCGAATAAATCAATATTAATTCGACAAAAACGACAAGACGATCTTTGTTCTTGTCAATCGTATATTAAACCATGTTATTTGAGAAATCATTATGATATTCATCAATATCGTGCACATTCATCAACAAATATAACTTTAAGTATTATTGGATTAGCTAATCAATATATAAATGATAATGATACAAATTTATTTTTAAAATTTATTGATAATAATAATGATAATATCAAACCAAAAATAAATATTTTAGGTTATAATAATCAATCTATACCAGGTCGAGAAGCATCACTTGATATTCAATATGCATTGGCTATTGCACGTGGAGTACAAGTTACATTTTGGTCTATAACAAATTTAAATGATCCATTTTCGGATTTTCTTTTTCAATTAGCTAATATGAAACATCCACCTGATATTATTTCAATTTCATATGGTTTTTCGGAAACAAGAAATGATTATACATTATTTCAGAAAGCAATCGATCAAGAATTACAAAAAGCAGCAGCTAGAGGAATTACTATTGTCGCAGCTACTGGAGATAATGGCGTTGGAGCAGGTAAATATTCTTCAAAAACTTATATTGGCAATTGAAGATAAAATATGAATTCAGTATTCAACAAAAAGCATGCATTATGTCAAGTTGCTCCTTTTCTGTAGCTATATGTATTTCCCCTTGTTTTAATATCAATTACAAGCTTAAGTTGTAATTTAAGATTAGAAAAAGACGTTAGATTTTGAATATTTATAATTAAGATGTCTAGGATTTCATTACTTAATAATTTACTATATTCCGGTACGAGATAATATCGGTGAAAACGGGGGTTGAAATTATTCGAAAACGAGTTGTTAATCATTTTATAAAAGAATATTTCTTGTAGGCGTAAATATTATATTATGATCATCTGAATAGATGTCTATCATACTCGATGTTTGATAGAAACTTAAGATTAATTATACCGGATGTGAGCTTTTTCGAGAGATATATGTCCTTTGTCATCTTCTCTTTTGAATGGCGAAAACTGAAGGTTCCTATCTATCTTTGATAAAAAGTTCTAAACATTTTTTCCATTAGTCTTCTTTGAAAATTTCCATAATAGTTATAATAAGAGAATAATATGTACATTTCATCATGTGTCGCGTAATAGTATTAATAGTCGTAGATAAAATAATGTTTAACTGGTTTTTTTTTCAAACTAGACAAGCATGAATTATACTTACTTGTTTCTGGGTAGATCAACCTATCCATCAATGTATCGGGTAATTATAATTCCAATCATCTCTAACGTACTCGTATCTTTTACAAATAGAAACGCATTTAGACGAAATCATTCGAGTTTATTTGTAAAACAGTATTTACGTAGATATTTTCACATTGTGAAGTATTATACTCAAACTAATTGATACTTGATAAAATGTAAAAGAGAAGTATACTTTTTCTTATTAATTTTTTACTTTTCGAACTTTTTCAATTATGTTTCAAATATATTATACAAAGTAACAAAAGTTTATTTCTTTATTTTATAATAACAATTATTATAACATTACTTCTTGATATTATGAAAACCTGTATAAGCATATTATTTTACTCACTTATATATAAATTTAGAGTGTTCAACCGTCTTTATTTGACATACACTCATATATAATAATGCTATGAAAGTCATCGTTCGTCAAACGTGATGTTTTCATTTGCATAGTAACTTTTTATTATCTTAGAAAAACTACTTGATGAACTTTTGGTGCATATCGATTGTTTTCACGATATTCATTATCTCAATTATTAACCTGCTTTTATCTTGCTTGGTATTTTTTTGTCTACAAGCGAACCATAAAATCTAATCGACGTCATAGAATATAGATCTTTGGAATTAGCCGACTTTTTGAGCAAAATAGCACATGCATGTTTTCCTGATAACAAAAGATTTTTTTGTTTTCTTAACATGTAATTTAAAGTATGTACTGTGAATACATAATTACATATTTTGTCAACAATGTTGATACAGGAAATTTGATGTGCTTCTTGTAGAAAAACATTTGAACAATATGTCTTTAGGTATAAGTCAGTTGCGTATAGTATATATATGTCAGAGAAATATTCATTTCAACTCTATGTCTTTGGTATCTATTTCAGAAAGCAGAAGCCTGATGTGTTTTTTTTTGACTTCTCTACAGTGCATAAGTCGAAGAGAATTATTAAATTCTTTATCTCTATTCATATAAAATAAAAGAAGGTGAGTGATTTATGATTAACATATGTTAGATAAGTAATAGGTTTAGAAATAAACCATATGTTTTACCTAAAAACTATGTAATCAGATTTATTCTGATGAGGAAATATTTTTTCATATAGTTAATTTTGCGCTTTTCAAAAGTAAGATTAATTGATCAGGATTCAAAATATAACTAATTCATTCATTCATATTTTATCAACATTATAGTAATGAAAACAATCGATGTTGTGGGAATAATAACATAATCAATTTTTCCAAGTTTATTATTCTATGTATAACAAAAAGAAAATAATGAACTGTTGTTCGTGATTGAATGCAATCGTGTTCATAATTGTAATTATTGAGTTCCTGTATTTAACTGTTTTTTTTTAAATATAACTTGTTTATCTCGATTAAGACATCCTTAGAAGAAAAAAGGAAAAAAAACTAGTTTTGTTATCTCATGAACTATTGTATGTCATTTTATTCTATTTATATTTAGCTCTACTTTTTGATTATTAAGATGCGTAGAATGTCAATTTATTTTGGAAATACTATATAAAGCATTAATCTTCTCATTTATTTAGATTCAGTCGATGATTGTCAGTCATACCATATAAATTTTCCTGCATCATCTCCATGGGTTACTGCAGTAAGTGAATTTATTGTTTATATGATAATATTATAGAATGAATTAAGGTCGGTGGTACGATGAATTGTTTGGAACGAGGTGCTTTTTTTTCAAGTGGTGGATTTAGTAAGATTAAATCATAATAACATATATTCTGATCTAAATATTCTATTAGGTACATATGAAGTACAACCAATTTATCAACAAAATGTTGTATTACATTATTTACATCAATATAATCTAACATTACCGCATGCTAATCTTTTCAATAGTATGGGACGAGCAGTACCCGGTATGAAAAAAATATATTATAAAAAAAAATTTATTAATGTTAAAATGAAATTTCATTCATATAGCATGAAAAACTAATATGATATTTCTAGTTTGACGTGCGTCGGAGATTTCATTTCAACATATAATCCGCTTTATCATTTCTTCGGAAAATATTGATAAGAAAAACCGGGTTTTTTTTCCGAGAGAGAAAGCAAAGACGTCGAATTCTCAAATAAGCCCATACTTTAATAATAAAATCTTCTTTTTGGTATATGTCTTACTGCGTGCTTTCAAATCTATATATATAAGTTAATTTTGTAGTGACGTTGAAAGACGCAGATATTTTGCAAGAAATTGATTATATAGAAAAAGATTAATTAGTTATATACAGCGATAATGAAAGAAGTACAGTATAGGTTTCATATAGGCGAATCATTATTCTATTTTGAGACGTTAAACATATCAGATTTCTTTTTTTCACTGAGACATACATCTAAATTGATTATAAAAATAAAAGCTTTTTTCCTATCGTTTGTGACTGAAACAATAATAAAATAGATTGATCTTATTATATTGAAAATAATTCTGCTATAGAAATGTTTTCTTAGGTCATGTCGTTCTTTTTCTTTTGACTTAAAAACATCTGCATCTTCGTCTATTTCTAATACAGAAATATTTTTTTCTAAAAAAATAGAGACTTTTTTCTATTCATTTTGAATAGTAACTGGAATGTCAATGTCACTCTATCCCAAATGAGCTGTTTATTGGAAAAAAAATAATTGTATGTCAGGTATAGAACATGTATTTTGAATAGTCTATTCTAGTAGAAGAATGCTTAAGGTTGTATATCATAATAATAACACAAGTATTATTTAATTTTAATAAAAATATATATTAGCATATTTTATAAATAATTAAAATGTCAAGAGGAAATGAAACTATGTTTTCTCATGAATAAAGAATTCATTACCACGCCTATTATTTCTATTATCTGTGTATATATCCGTAAGATGCGTAGAGTAAAATATAAAATTAAATCCTAAACACTATCAAAAAATAGAAGTTTTCATCTTTAATTTCGACAGACAACTAGGTCATTTAAATATAGAAAAAGACTTAGATACGTTCGAAACAGATTCGTTGTTTATTATTAGTCATATATGACAATAGTTGAGAAGAAGATTTCTATTCTAAACTGAAGGCTATATCCTCTGGAGGAAATACGTGACATATCTATTTTTTCACAATTATTTTTCTGTAACATAGGATCTATATCTTATATTTATACTATGAAGATTATGTTACAATGACTAACTATCTGTATATCATATAATTGACTTTGAACTGCAATAATTTGTTAAAGAATAAGACAACATGTATTATATGACCTTGTGTCTTTGTAAAAAGGTTACTTTTCGCTTTTATCCGTTTTGTTTTCTGCCTATTAATCAGTAATAGAACGACATCTTAAATTGGTATTGTATAAGAATATATCGAATAAAATGCATCTGACATCTGTTGAGACTGGAATCAATATCACTGATTAATAGACAGAAAATAAAAGGAATGAAAACGGAAATTGATCACTTCACAAAATCACATAAAACATATTGTCGTACTTTGTACCAAGCTGTTGCAATTCAAAGTCTATTATATAGTTAAGTATTGCCATATAGTATTTATAGTAGACATATAAGATACAGATCATATAATTTATGATAACTAATTGTCAAAAACTGGGTATGTCATTTATTTTCACCAGGGAAATATATGTGTTGTCAAGATTTTTCTTATTTATCAATCATAATTGAAATAATACGCTCTATTGTAAATACTAACATGAATAGTAGTGATTATTATCGGGGAGAATGCTTGTTCGAATAAACCATTGAGTCTAATTTTGTTTTCCGAATGAATACTATCGACTTTGATAAGAAGAAAAAACCCCGGTCTATTATCTCTGTTTTTAGATGTATCTTTATATGCTACAAGATATTTAAATATTGTAAATGGTTTGATAAAATCGACAAGTGGAACATCAGCAGCAGCACCTATATTTGCAGCTATAATTGCTTTACTTAATGATTATCAAGTACGACATGGACGTAAACGACTTGGCTTTTTAAATCCATTACTTTATCAATATGCATCCGATATATTTCATGATATAACTGCAGGTTATAATGTTGGTTGTAATACAACTGGATTTCATGCTGGTATAGGTTGGGATCCAGTAACTGGATTAGGTAGACCATCATTTATTCGATTTCAAAAGGTGCTTGATGCTATCAATTTGAAACAACATCAATTCAAATCGTTGAGAATAAATAAAAATTGAAAATTTTATTTTTAGTTTTTTTTTCTTCGAAAATATAAGCATTTTATTCAAGCATTAAAAATTACATTAAACATCATGAAAGAATAATTATTATTCCAAAAATATCTTGAAATGTTTTAGTTTTATTTTTTATATATAAAACTATAAATGTCTGGAAAATATGCAATAATCTCAGAATATTATGAATTATTTATACAATTATAATGGATCGAATAATTATGTTTCTGATAAAGTAAATATAAATTTCTTTTTATTTTTCTCAATAGAACAATTTCTATTTCTGCAATAATTAGATAATATCCTCTCGCTAAATAAATAATAGAATTACAATCACAGAAAAATGAGTGAGAAAAAAATTGTTTTGTACTATGCAGTAGTTTACGCACAAGTATTGAAAATAGAAATAGTATAATATTTTTTTTCTGCAACAGGAGTTAAAGCATCGAAGTAAAAAGTCATATTATTTAAAACTTGCACGATGTGTGGGCTCATTTGTACCGACATGTTTTTATTCTTTTTTGATTGCGTGTCTGTTTTCTACCACTTTTTCTTTTTGACTGATGATTTCAAGATTTGTTTCAGGTATTAGCGTCTGAATAAATCAAAGCAAATCAAATTAATATGATTGAGTGTTGTACATTTACATGCATGCAAGTTAATGACGCATATTCACCTGAAGGTATTGCATGATTTCAGTGATCAACATATTATATAGGGTAAGTTTATTTTTTATATATTTAGATCTTTATTTATTAGATTGCTAAGAAAAATAAGTTTTAATATAGGTCATATATATATGTGGTTTTGATTAGATCGAAGAATTTATTTTTATCTCGTTTACGTTTGTTGTATGAATGAACTTCTTCATTCGAATTAATGTGTAACTAGAACCAAAAAAAAATATATAGATCCTTTTTGTATGATCTTTATATATTCAAATGAGTTTCCTGTTGGAGTTCGAGGTCGTGTTACGAATTACATTAGTTGGGTTATATGTAAATGAATGATTTCATTATATAGTATAGTTAATAAGTGTGAACTTGTCGTTTAGATTCTTTTGACATTTAACAACAATCATTTTATGATGTAAGACAGTTTGGATATTCTGAGAATAAGATTTTATTGTATTCTTTCAAAAAGAGAAACCCAACTAGAATCAAAAGACAAAATATGTCATAATAGAACTTCACAAAAAAATGTATTATATTTTTTGACATATTGCTTCTCATTATTGATCTTCTTCGGTTAGGATATAAGTTAAAAAAACATTTTATCTCTGTCTGTGTCAGACATCTTATATTATTTTTCTCAGTAAGTTTTTCTTCCTTGTTTATTTTTGCCTTCTATTGAAATTTAACTCGGGAAGTCTGGGTCTGTAGCAAAGGGGGAAATGCCTAAGTATAGGAAATTCATAATTCAATAGTATCTCTATTGTGTAGACGTCATGCGATATTAAGTTTGTTTAAATTTAATAGAAGTTTGGAGAAAGAATCACCATTTTTCTTATTCTTCTTTTGATCTATTATGAAGTAGAAACAAAAAAGATAAGGCAGGTATTTATAATTGTTAGTTGATAGATCAATACTACCATGTACTCTGTTCACTTCTTCAACATATCTTTTAATCAGCTGCACCAGTTATCTTTTATATAATCTTATAAGAACTGCCTTTCAAGTTTCTTTGTTTTTCATCAATGAAGAGTTGTTCCTAGGTTAACCTGTAATCTCTTATGAATAATATAGACAAGAAAAGTGCAAGATTAAATCTAAAAATATTTATTTCTAATGAAAAGAATAAAACCTTTCAAGATATTTGTATCAAAAAATATTTTTCAAAGAACGATAAGTATAAATAAGCATGTCAGTTTTGCTATACGGAAAAAAAAGATATTTAATAATCTCTATTTCTGTTATTTGTAATAATAAACTTTCTATTCAATTGACTCATGAATATCAAAATAATTTTATACAAAGAATTCCAAAGTGCATATATTCGTTAGCGGTACCGAAAGGGTTAATTGATCTAATAAGATTCTCTTATGTGAAGTAAATACTTACTGAGTGTTAAGTCACGTTTCTATAACGCTAAATTAGTAATAGATGGATAATATTAGACTTATTAATACAGTTAATTGTACTTAACAGTTTCGATTTGTGTTCAATAAAAAGTTTATTTAGTATATCGACTTCTATTAAGGAAAAATAAATGTGTAATTCTATAATATCTGATTATGTAGTTTAATATTTTCGATATAAGTGTCTAATTTTCCTAGAAAAGAAAATCATATCGAAATATGATAAATAAATAGTAAAAGCAAATATATTTCTGTAGAATTATTTATAGAAAAAAATGACAGGCTGTTAGGCTACAGCAGATAGAGAAATGTATTTTTATATGATATTTTCAGTAATGACTTAGAATAAACTAGTAAGCAGATCAGATGTTTTGATAAGATAAATACAGTATCAGTCATAGAAGACATTAGTGTAGTATTGTGTATGTTTTATTAAATTTTGCTTTTGAGTTATTACAGATGTTATAGAAAAATATTAATTTCAGTCGATATTAGAATAAATTTATAAATAAGATTTTCTTTTAGCTAAATTTTCACCTACGCCTTAAATCTATTAATATAATGAATTAAAAATGTTTTTATTCTCTATTGCGTAGTGTCTATATTCCATAACTATAAATAATGGAAGTATTTCTTTAATATGAAAAATAAGCCGGAATAGTTTCAGGTATATTTTATTAGGTTACACTATATGTCAATTGTTTAGGTTTTTAAGAATATGAGAATTATGTAAAATAAGTTTACTCAATGATTATTTATATTGTTAGTAAACATGAGAATTGAATAATTTATCGAAAAGAATGTCAAATATTAGCAGAATTGTTTATATAAATAAGTTTTTGTATGTAAGCGCATTTCATCTGTTAAGCCTAGATAGATTCATGATGTAATCCGTAGTTTATCATTTATCTCATATAAATAATTAGGAATCTATTATTCTTTGTAAGATGTATAAACTCTAATATATCAAAACATATGATGTCAATCAATAATATTCCCTGGAAAGGTTAGATTTCTCTATAGTTAGATCAGTAATATTATAGCTTCGAAAAAGAAGTATGTTTTTATATTTTAAAATTCATATAAATAGTTTATGAAATGAATTAAAATATAAATATTCTATTCAAAGTTGATAATTATTTTTCATGAGATAATTAATAAAGTAGGAAGTTTTGTCTGATGTTTTATCAAATATATTCTTTTATTTTCTGAAAAGAAAATTTTCTTCTTCCTACTGAGTGCATATACGGTTCGGTACTTTCAAAAAGAAAATAATCCACTTGATTTTCTATTACAACATACAAAAAAACATTTTTCTTTTCTGATTTCAACATTCCATTTATACATTTGATTTGTTAAAATAATGAGAGGTAATTATAAAATTTGTTTATTACTAAGCATAGTTAGACGATCTAGGTAATGTTTTTCAACAAATTTTTGTTGAGCACTATTATATACTGTGAACTAGATGGTATAAAATTAATTTCCGATTTTAGTAAGTTTTTTTTTTTACATTAGCAGAATTCATAATTCTAAGTATTTAACAAAAGAAAAATTTAAGATCCTTGTAAAAATAGAAAATCTAATCTTTATTGTAAAGAATTCGAATCTTGTGTAAATTGTTAATATTCATTGAGTACACAAAATACAATAGAGATATCTTTAGTTTCGGATTATTTCTTTGACCTACTTTGTTTGATATATTGTTAGAAAATATTCGATACTGACTATAAAATCTTAGCTTTATAGAATGCAAAATGATTTTAAATTCGTCGATTTTGTAGACCAATTGATAGTCTACTAAATTCAGTACATCTTTATATTGATTAACATAGGTCTCTAGAGTAATCAAGAATCTAAGCTAGTTGCGTTTTATTATGTAAACTCGATCAATGCTGATAACATGTATGAGAGTTTAATTTTTCCGAGACTAAAAATAGATTTGATATACTTTTGTAGAAAGAATCTAAAGATAATCTTGAGTTTTGTCTACACGCTTATCTTACTGGTATAAACTATCACGAATACTGTATCGAGATTATACTAAACAAAATAATACTCTGGATCTTTTACATTATTTCTTATTGTTTAAAGTTCTTGAAGCTTGTCCTGCTTATGCAAAAAATAACTCCTTCAAAATGTTGAAAATCATGAGATCTATTGATGTAAAAAAATTTCACTGGAGACGGAAATTAGTTTTTCATTGTATGCCTGAGAACACATGGAAGTACTCGAGATTTAGCAGAATAAATTGTTACTAAAAAAACTTTTAAATCTTTTAAATGTCCTTAGTAAAAGACAATTTTCCATGATTATCTCTGTCTGTTCCAAATGATGAGGTATCAAAATTTACAATAGAACTTTTTTTTTGACAAATGTTGTAGAAAAAAATTCATACGTTTACAATAAAATATTATTTAAAATAATATAAAAAATATGATTAATTATGTTATTTTTTCGTTTTAGTAAATATATATTTAATAACAATGCACTTGATTTTTAATGGAAACTTATTCTTCAACTTCTCATCTATTCTTTAACAAACAAATAACATTTTTCTCGTTATCATTCTACAAATGTACTTTTTTCAAATGGCATAAAAAACATTACATAAAAAACTTTTTTTTCCTTCAACAAAGTTGATTCTATAAATGACATCAACATATTATATTAACAAGAACTTTGTATGCCAATAAGCATCATCATTTATCTATAATACATCTACTTTATTATTTTATAATGATGAGACGAAAAGTCAAAGAATCATTTATTCCAAATGTGACAAAACAATTTACTGATGAACACTTATCTTGAGTTGTTAGCTTTTATCCCAAGTGATCATAATAGAGATATATAAATAGAGTACTTTCTTATTGTCAGTTATTTTTCCTTTTCATAATATGTTACAATTTTATTTTATATAAACTATATTTCTAGATAGATAATAATGGTCGATTCATCTTGTACATGGATTGGAATTCTAATTATATTAATTGGTTCAATAGGTAATTGGCTTTGTATATGTGTATTTTGTCGAAAACGTTTCCGTTCATCTATTTTAACACCATTTTTTGTTGCTTTATTAATTGCCGATTGTATTTATTTAACATTTCGAGTTATTAAATTATTATATTATCAACATACATTATTTGATAATTTCTTTTCAACATTATCATGTTCATCAAGTTTATTAACACAAATCTATGGATATTTTGCACAAAATGCACCACAAATATTTATACCATTATGTCATTATGAATTTTATATACGTTTTTCACTTATACTTATGTCATTCTTAGCTATACAACGTGCATATGATATGTTTCATTCATCTTATAGAATTTTACAAAGAAATCCTTCAACAAGATCATTTGCATATATACTTATAATATCTGCATTTATACTTGCATATTTATTTGAATTATTTGGTTTAAGTATATTTTGTTCATACGAGCTTAGTTCAAATGTTGCTTATGGATGGTATGATTATATTCGTACACATCTTTCCAATGAAACTACAAGTTTAATAAAATTTTTGAAAAACCAATCAAGTAATCAAAGTGAAATTGATTGTATTATTGATAATGATACAGTCTGTTCACATGAACAACAAGCTGAAATAGTCCGTAAGTACATTTATTTTTATCAAGATATTTAAAGATTTCTACTTGCAAAACAGATATGTAAATATTGCGTCAGAACATTTAGAATTAGTACATTCATGTGAATTGAATAGATCATATTTACATACTAATATCTATTACTTGTCACGACAGGAATATGAATTATCACGTGTGTTAATGACGTAAATATAGTTATTTAAAAGTTTTAAATTTAAATTACAGTTTTCATCTAAAAATAGTTATTACGATCTTCATAGAGAGAATCAATTAATAGAGTAATTAAATATTTAGAAAAAATATTGTCTTTGTAAATGATATAAATATATTGTAGAAGAATTAATTTAATCGAAAGCATGTTTTAGTAATATTAGTATGCATCTTTTATTTGAATACAAATTATCATGATCTTATTATTATTCAATTCTTTTCTCGAACAAATGCCTAGAAAGAATAATTAAAAATAATAAATATTTTAGATGTTACAGAAAAGGAGATTGCGTCTTAAAGAAACTTCAAGTAAATATATTCAGAGCACTAAGTTCATTGCAATGTTCTTTTCAACTGGGAAAATATTTGACAACTGAATTATATATTACACCGAGTTCATATTCTTTAATCTAATCTAAGTGAATATTATATTTTATTTACGACGATGGGTTTTATATATTATATCCTGAGAGTATACAGTCATTGTTCATATTATATAAACTATTATTAAATAAAGTGCATTCATTAATGTTTAAAATATAAATGAAATTCTTTCGATATTTTGTATAATAATTTATTTTAGGTCATTATTTTGATAAACATCAACGTCCAATTGTTGATCTTATTCATAAAGTTCAATCATGTACAATTGGGAAAAAAATGGGACGTAATGAACTTCGTTTAAAATATCATTATCATACATGTCCATTTCGTATGCAACCAGATTTTTTTCTTAAAATCTATGATCTACTTTATTCACGAAGTTTTGGTTTTAATCGATATTCAATTATACTTGGTAAGAATTATTTTTATTAGAAATATTTTATATTTTTTTTTTAATTAAATTAGTTTTTGGAAGTATAATTCCATCAATAGCAGCAGTAATTGCTAATGCAATATCTCTTCGATATATTATAGCTATTCGTACTTCTGTTATTGAACAAACACGTGCATCACGTCGTCGAACAGATGAAACTCGTCGTGTTATTATTATAATAACAATTGAATGTCTTTTAGCTATTATAAGTTCTTGGTTTGTTGATATTATATTAAGTATTAATTATTGCAGTCGTTCAGTTGCAATCGGTGATGATTGTCCGGATTTTTTACGTCGTTCTCAAACATTACAAGCACTTTGTGATTTACTTAATTCAATGTCAAATATAATTCTTTATTGTTATGCTGGTAGAAGATTTCGACATGAATTAAGACGTATGTTGCAAGCATGGGTGCTCGCAATAAGAAAACGTACACCATGTTATTGTCGTATTGAATGGAGAAAACCAGTTGCTAACGTAAAAACATATGGTGATGAACAGTATAATGCTCAATCCGATTCATCAACTAAACCATCAAAAATTCTCAAATATCCAATTGAACAAAAACATGATTATATTAAATTAAGAGTTGCTACTTATCCAACTACTGTTTTATGAAATTTAAAAAAAAAACAACAGATATTTAAAAAATAATTTATTTTAAATAAAAAAAAAGTATTAAATATTGTATATCGATCTTTCTTTTGATCAGTATTTTATTCAGGTTTCTTTTTTTCGAGGTGCGAATTGAAATATTGAGTGGGCACTAGCGGCGGCGCCAGGAATTCAGACTAGAGTGGGCTCAGCATTATATATTTAAGATCTGAAAAAAATCTCAAGGTGAGCTGCGCCCACCCTTGGCGCCGCCACTAACAGGCACCACCCACCCTCTAGATAAAACACCGCTTCTGACATGCTATTATAATCTGTAGAGTATGTATAATATCTTTATCGCTTGAACTTAAATAATAAGAGCAAAGTTTTAAAACTATATAAAAAACAACACATAGATAACAGACATGGTATTACTGAACTAATTAAGATTTATTAAGTGTGTTCTTTGAACAATAGAAGTTCAAATTAGAATTTATCGATTATTCTACTGTATTGCTTAAGATAAGACCGAATGAAATGATTATTATTGAAAAATGTTTGTCTTATTTTCTTACAGATTGCTTTGTTTTCCATTTATTAGAGTATATATTTATAAATATTAATTGTTAACATATTATATATTCTGACTGGTTATATTCCGATTTATGTTGATCGTCTATACATCATTCTGACAGAACACAAATTTATAAAAAATGATTAAATATTTTACAATAAATTTTACTGAAGCAACAGTATTATTAGAAGAATTTGTTATTTTCAATAGATAATATGCCTCTTTCTTCGACGTTTTCGTTGTGTATTAAAATTTGACATTGTTGTTATTTGATTATTTTCTGTTATATCTGACTCTGTATGTGTCGGATAAATCTAAGTTTAAATAAAAAGAAAAGAAATAATCTGCAGAACTAAAACAAGTAATTACTTTATCTATAGCAATAATAAGTTTCTTGAATTTGTCTGGTAATTGTTCAACTGGAGTTTTATGTTTCGAATGAATAACAACACTTATTGGTTGTGGTAAAGGTGTAACAGTTGCTTTTTTAAAACCTAAATTAAATTATTATTGTATATATATTAATAAAATAAACTCACCTAGTCGTTTTGCTATATCTTTAATAATAAATAATGGAATATTAGGCGAATGAAGTTCTTGTCGAATTGTGTCTCTTCTTATAAAACGAAAATGTATGTTTATTATTACAATAAACATTGTATAACCAATAAATACACAAAAATAAATAAATAATGTAAATACAAATGGACCAAGAAAAGCATCAGCTTGTAATAAATCACTCGTATCAAATTTTAATAATATCATTTGAAACAGCATATTACTCGTTAATATTATAGTTGAACATGATTTCATATCTGATACAAATAAAAGATAGAATAAAATAGCAAATGCTGAAAATAATAGAAAATACATTATTGAAAATGAAACAAGATCTTTAAATGCACGGCGTAATGTTCGTGAAAAAATATTAATACGTGGATAAATATCAAATAGTTGTAATAAACGTACTGTACCAAAGAAACAACAAAAACCAAGTAAAAATGTTAGAAGATTATTAACATAAGTTGCAAATTGAAGATTTATATATTGTGTACCATTTGTATAACGGAAATAATTTCCTATACGATTTGCTTCATGATAACGCCAAATATATACACCAACACCAGTCCATGAACAAATTATTATACCCCATTCGATATATGAACGTATTTGACGAAAATATTTTTTTTTAAGTTTATATATTGAATAACATTCACAAATAGTAAAATAAATAATAAATAAAATGTAAATACTTGCGATAGTTAAATAGAAAATTGATGAAAAATTATTAAATTCAGTATACATTTGCATTGGTTCAATATAAGCTGATGGAAAAACTTCACCAGTTTCGAGTATTTCAATTAAAAGTGTTACTGATGTAAAAAAATTAACATTGGGATTGTATAAATTAAGTTGAATCATAACTGCACGAGATTTTTCATCTAACCATGATAATTGACGTAAAATAGTTAAATTTTCTTGAAGTTCATTTAAATTACCACGAAATTCATAGACATATCCACCACTACCATATGTACCATGATCACCTACGTAGATATATGAATCAAGTTCGGCACTTGTACGATAAATAAATGCATTTTTAATCGATGTTGGATAACTCACATTAGTTGATGATACCCATCCAGGTGCATATGAATATGCATCCTCATTAAATATACTATATTTGCCTTTACATGAACTAATAAATGGTCGAGTAATAACTGGAATTTTACAATATGCATCTATATATTTGAGGAAAAAATAAAAGTTATAGAAAACTAATTTAACGAACTTAATTTTAAACGTAATTGACGCATTGTTGCCCATCCAATAATACGAGTAGTTTTATCATTAAGAAAATCTGTCATATTCTCAACAGGATCATCATTATACCATGATTCAGCGCGAATATTTGGTGTAAAGCATGTGTGCAACCATTTCCAATAATCATCAAATGATATGATCTACTAATTCATAATATACAAAAATGTTTTTTTAAGCATAAACAAAATAAAAACAAATGAACCTCTTGGAAATTACGTGTTAAATTATGTCTATTAAAAAAAAATTGACTTAAATGTTGAAGTTGGAATGCTGCATTTGTATCAAGATTTGTATAACTAACCAAATATAGTACTGTGACAAAGGTCAAATTGATAAATATTTTACCAATATATTTCCACATTTGAAAAATCTATTGATTGTTAATTTCTACAAGAAAAAAAATTAACTACTGTCCATTTCAAAAACCAAGGCGGATGAGTATTTTTTGAATATTTTTTGATAGGAACGAGGTAGAGAGCTGCGGGTTTCACCGTTAGAAAGAGTAGATGAAGATGCATTACAACCTATATCCTAAGATTTCTCTAACTACTTCCCAAAGACTGCCAGTCAGGTGTTTTGAAAAAACTGCCTTTTTCTCGTACGCGAAAAAATACGATTTTTCATCAAAACATCACAGAAACTTCTATTATTTGCACGAAAAATGGATTACCAAAGTGTTTTTTTGTCAGGGAAAGATTGAATTAGTAGTAGTCATGAGGAAAATCTTCACACAGTTTTCTAGTTCTTGATCTGGCGATTCTACAGCATGTCCGAAAATGAACGAACTAATGTGGCGTTAATGCGAGACATACTGTTTATCCAAGATTTTTCTATAATAGCCTTTGGGAGTAGTTGGAGAAATCTTCATCTGCTCTTTCTAACGGTGAAAACCGCGGCTCTTTATCTTGTTCCTACCAAAAAATATTCGAAAAATACTCACCCGCCATTTTTTTTTGAAATGAACAGTAGTACAGATAAACCTTAAAGTATGACTTAAATATTCTAGATAAAAAAAATTTATTTTCTCGTTTGCTTATTTTTTAAATGTTCAAAAGAAAAATGAAATTGTAGATTACTACGAGCATATGATTGTCATTGTAAAAGTCTTCCACATGGAAATAAAATTTCTATAATAATGCAAGAAAATATTTTAACACTCATATTTATTTCTTATTCTTTTATGCAAGACTTTCAGCCGTATTAAAAAAAGCGTTTTAAAATTTTATGGAAAAAAATAAAAATATTTACTTATGCATAATAAAGCTTTGAAGTAAAGCATCCGGAAAAAAAACTTACGTTCTGGATATTCATTATTTCTTTTTTTCTGTTTATAACTACCTGAACAATATACTCTAATTAACAAACGTAAAACATGATATTCTAATAAATACAATGAAACATATGGAATATATATGCTCGGAATTGCTTTTCCAACATAATAAAATATATTATATTTTACATTTGAAATAATACCGGAAACTGAAAACTTCAATGTAAATCGTTTGTATTAGTCATACAGCATAAAGTTGAAGATGACTGGGTGGATGTTATCGGTTTTCAGCACCTTGTTGTCATGTTTATTTTTTTGAAAATAAATAGAAAAACAACAAGAAACGTAATGAGAATAGATCAGAATGTTTTTCTTTTGAGTAGATTGATTTAATAAGTCTTATATGAAATTGTGTGTAATATTTAAATGAATAAATTCGATATGAATACTCTGTATCAAACTTTTACCTATTTCTAATTTTGAGAAATCGGTGAATGATTCGGGGTATTTCGATTTCAATTGAATCATATATGATGTAACGAAATGTCATCAAATATATAGTATATTGTTTGTTCATATGATATTAACAATAGTTTTACTCATTAGCTAGAAAGATATTTATTTTTGTTCTTGTCGTTTTCAAAAGATCTGCTTTTATGAACAATTTCCTAGACTTCTTTCTTAAAGTAAAAAGAAACAATAATATTGTACAATAATTAATAAGAAGATCATTTTCAAAACCTATTGATTATCTTTTCTCTTCTACCAATTAATAGAAGCCAGTAAAACTATTTTGGATTGTTTCGTTTACGTATATAGAAATGTATTTGAAACCAAAGAAGATGATTTATATTCTATTTTATCTCCTCATTTTAGTTATAGAATCATCTCATCAAATGAAGTTCTTTTTGAGAGTTTTGTGTGTTCTATCATCATTTAATTCTTTGATTTAGAAAATAAAACATTATTGTATGAATAAAATGAATTGTTTTATTTTTGAATACAATGCATCATGTCAATAAACGCTACAATTATTGAAATTGATTATTTAAGATCCTGACTCTCATCCCTGAAAAATCTATTTCAAATCTAGGATAATTCAAATGGCTTGAAGTTTTCAGGTTATGGTGGAGGTGTGATGCAGAAACTCAGAAAAAACTGTCAGCCCTATATCATGAACGTTTGACCAACATACTCACTAAATGATGCAGTGTAGCACAAAGCCTTTTTTTCAACTCTTTCTTTTTAAGCGGAAAAAAAACGGATAATTAGATGAAGATGGCATAAAATCCTATAAACTGAGTGCCCATTGATGTTAACATGTGTGCGTATAATAAATAAAAAGACTAATTAAATAAAGATTTCTATACTGTACCGAGATTTGACACAATCTTTCAGATAAAAAACAATTTTCATATATTGAACGAGTCGAAACAGAAATATATGATGCGCGAATGAAAAATACAAGTTGCGAAAAAAGCCTGTGTCTTTTAGAAGTAGATAATACCAATTTGAAAATTATATTGTTTCTGAAAGATCTAAATCCGAACTATCTTCCCATATATTTATCTTAATTTTAAAATATTTGATCAAAATTGACTTGTGTTTTTGAAGGGTGGGCGTTTCAACATGATAAGAATTATATGGTAAGCTTTTTTTGCAATAAGGTGGAAATAATTATAAATTCTTCGCGCATAGTTTACGAGTACCTGAACGCACTTTGCTGCCAACCATTTTTAATATTTAAATATTCTCTAGAAATGTGACATATCAAAAATTCATTTTACAAGTAAAGTCTATTGATAATCAATATAATCAATCAACTTTATCAGAATATTAACAAATTAACATATAGATTTTACGTGCAAGATTTTAATATAAACATCTATATTATTGTCAAGATATTTATTCAAGAATGATTTATTGATATCAAATACAAAACATCATGCACCAGTTGATTCAAGTATTCTTGTGAAACATAAATTAAAATGAATGTTGAGATATAAGAATAAAAAAAGAACTTCAATTTCTTTTCTCTTCATACACCATAACAAACAGTTGACCAAAATCTTATACAAATCATTATGAATATAAGTTTACAGGTAAGATTTATTATCTGTATTTTATAATTTGCTATTAAAAAAAAAGGTTATGAATTCATAGTTGTAGCAGAATTTTCTATTCAAAACAAATCTACATATGAACTTAGCATTCTTCTATCACCATCCACTAACAGTGAGAATCATAATTATGAAAAAATCAGAATTTCTACACAATTAAAATATAAGTTTTCCCCACGTATTAATATTTTATGATTGTAGTTTACTAGTAGAAATACTTAAATAATCATGATTATCGATTATATTCTATTGAGAATAGGTATTTCCAATCTTTATCATGTTCAATGAAAAACCATGCATTCCGGAAAGAGAACTGTTAATGTTTTTTTTGACATCTCTATTATTATATGTGCGTGATTTTTTTTGTTTTCATAAATTACACTATATTACCGATACATGTAAGAAAATGAAGAAAAAAAAGAACTAAGTACTACAAAACACTTCGATTTTATCTAGAAAAATTCATATAGAGTCTAATGATTTATGTCTAGCTTAATAATTTACTATCGGATATGAAATAAAACTAATTTAAATATTAATTTTATCGATAATAAAATCTTTCGAGATATAAGTATAAAATTTCTTAATTTTCTGCGTGATGAATTTCTCTTGTAATTCTTGTTGATTGAAATTCAATTGATCGAAAAGAGTTTTCTAATTATACGCCTCAATAGTTTATTTGCATAATGAATATTTCAACCTAGAATAACTGAAAAAAATCTCGAGATACATTCATTTTTATTCTAGTTTTCCACGACCCACTGTATGTTTAACTAATTTTAACAATTCAAGTTTTTTAGGTGTAGAAAAACATTTGAAAAAACTTCTTTATTAAAAAAAATCAATATTATAAGTAAGATTAAGACTAATTTTGTACTTCTGGATCACATTTTTCATGATACCACCATTTATGTATATTATGAATTATATTTGGTGTTTTATCGAGATGTAAACGAAGACATAAATCACAAAATGGTGACATAAATTGTAAAAATCGATCCCATATAAAATTTTTCTTCCATTGAAAATATTCTTGATAAAGTGTTCTATTAGTTCGTATTTGATAGAGTCGTTCACTTAGTTTTGATATTGATGGAAATTGTTGAATATTAATAAAAGCTGATTGAGGAATATAACGTGTATAATTAACTCTACCAAAGACAATTGGAACAATAGGTAATGCAAGTGTTGAAAACAATTTTTCAGCTAAAAAGAATTAAGATATTAAGTTAACAGTTATGTTAAATAAGAACTATTCTCATATTAATACATTAGACCGTTAGGATTGTATAGGACCTGAATAGATATCATTATATAGAATATGTTAGTTAGCTGAGTAAGAACAAAGAAATTTTCTGCATAATTGATGTACTAATGTTCCATTAATTATTCGGAAACGATTTAAAAATTGACTACAATTTTAAAAAATTGTTATTGTTATGAGATGCGTAAAATTTTTTTTCTATAAAAGTACAACTTAACTTTGAAAATAATATGTTGATGAATTTTATTTCAAATGAAAGTTTTTGAAACATAAAATGTACGTATATAATTAGAAATTCATTAGATATCCATTTTATACTTTTAAAAAGAGTTTTCTAGATTAAAAATATTTGATCTTTAGGCAGTATTTTCATTTTTTATTAACTTTCATTTATTATAAAATTCATCATTACATCACTTGGAGGTTTAAAGCCTACATTCTTAGAAAAAGCATTTTTACATATTGTGTCAAGATGACTTTCGATGCATTACAATCAACGTATTTTGATTATATTAAATAATATCTCAAAAGATCTTTTCAATGTAATCAAGATTTTATTACGTCGTAAGTCTTTACTAAAAATTTTTGTCACTATATTTAAAGGAAAGTATTAAGTTTGAGAGGAGATATATATGAACACATTTACTAGGTTAATACAAGCTTAAAATGAACTTCCTGTTTTTAGTGAAAATAACGAATAATTTTTAGTTAACAAGAAGAAAAAAATACATATCTCGTATGCACTTCCGTGATTTCTTAACGTATATTTACATTCTTCGCTCGAAAACATAATTTCAAGTGCATCCGACCTTTATGTTTATTTCTTGATACATGTACGACACTTACAAAAAAATTCTGAATAGATTATGTAGATAAATAATAAGAGACATGACTGCATTTATATTCCTATCCACGAATAATATATGAACTTCCTTGTCTATAAACTCTGCTGAATGGAATATCTAAAAATATATGTAAGACTCCTTTTGATATACTAATATAAAAGATCATAAAAACAGACTATACGTCAATGATAAAATTAACGTTATTTAAAATTTATTCATGTATAACAATACTTCGTACTAAGTAATTCTCTATTGGTTATTCTGATCATTGAATGAGATCGTCATTTCGATGACGCAGTAGTAAGTATAAATAGCATATCTATGGAAATTTTACAAAGTCTGACGATCCAGTTACAATTAAATGAATAGTAGACGTTATTCACATTTCATATATGATTAAGGTCAGGTCATAAGAATATCATACTAACTAAGATGATAGTTTTAACCTATCGACTCTATTCGAACTATTGTTAACAATGATTTATTTTTTCTTAGAGACAGATATAAGCTATGCATAGAAAAAACTAGTAATGTAGTAGTACTTCTTATAATTTTTTTTTAAAATAAGATTCAATTCGAAAAGTATTTGAATGATTCACATATATTATTAAGTAGGTCATTTGTTTTTTCTAAACAAGTATATAAAATTCTTACTTGTATAATCTTCACAATAACTATTTTCGAAACTTAAAAAGAAATAATAACGTTCAGCAATATATGTTCGACAATCAATTGAATTTGGACATGGTTTACCACATTTACCATAAACAGTTACATCAACATATTTTTTTAATTCAGTAATTAATAATGTTCGTTGACTCTCAGGTGTTAGACACTAGATTAAAATAGAAATAGTTTTAGAGAATAAATTAAACTATTAACATACATTACTAATTAATGCTGCGACTGTACCAAGTTTTTTCGTTGTATTGATATTTTCATAAAGAACTGTTTTTTGTTCATAATTATATGGTAGGTTTTTAAACCATTGACTATCTTTTGAACGATAAGTATCACTAGCATAATAGGAAGCAAATATATGTGAATCGAATTTATATGTCATTGACCAATTAAAAAAATTTGTATATGATCGAAGATCAATACTATGTCTCGGTGATTCCCATGATGTAAAAATAAAACGTTGTGATGGATGACGATATTTTAATATTTCATCTGAACGATTTATATAATTACGCATATGATAAACAACAGCATCAGCTTGAGTAAAACGATTTCTATCATTTGTTATTTCACATTGATTATTTAAAAATGAACAATATAGTTCGGACACTAAATAAGTTGAAAAAGTAGAATAAATAAAATTATTTCCGCATATTATTAGTCATATATTTATAGGATAAATTTAGATTCTTTTAACAAAAGTAACAATTAAGAATAGAAAAATCAAAACAAAGTTTATGATTCATTGAAATGAATAATTTCTATAGTGATATATATATATATATATCCGAGCCCTTGATCATCGAACAAAAGTACTTCTCGAGATTGTCTAAGAACATAAAACGGTAAGTAATATAATCTTTTAAAGCCTAGAGAACATAACGAACTATTATATCTGTTATGATAGGAAGACATAACAGTTTCTTTTTTAGACATGAAAGTAAAAATAAATCTAATTGAATACATACTGTTTCCGGAATTAGTTTTATTTTTAATTGATTTCATAGACCATGTTTCATCATCAAAGAATCCATTAGCTAGTAGAATAATTTTTTTTGTTTTATTTCTTAATTTAATAAATTTTTCACGATTTTTTGTATAAATTTGTATTGGTAAATGAGGATAAAATTCTGTTTGTTCCATATGATATGTTAATGATGATTGATTTAGAAATAATAATTTATCATCGTATTTTATCATAGAAAAATTAAAATAATTTAATGCATAATTTTCTATTGTTAATGAAACATAAAATAGTGCACAGATACTTAATATCATACATGTCGTAAAATATTTTATCACCGAACAATAATTATGACGATGTTGTACAGCCATTTGACTATTTCTTTTTTAATATTTAACTGTATGTTTATATTCAGTAGAACAAAATACAGAATAGAAAAAATATATTTATGTACATATGATAGTCTATATACCCTTGAATCACATATCTTTGTTTATATAACTCCTCCATTCGTGTGTAACTATATGACATGTATATAGTAAATAAAAGTTCTTTTGTTAGAAATCCATTTTTAAACATAATGAATCTTTGGAATTCACAAGTTAATTATTTATGCGACATTTGTGTCTATATTAATACAATATATTAATAGATATATGTAAATAAATACTCATGAGATTATACTAGTTCATTTTTATATATGATTAATTTGGTCTCTAGCAAAATTTATTTTGAATTATTTACAAATGAATAATATTTTCACACGTACAACTTTCTAGATTTAGAATGATCAAATACTACCACCCCTGACTATTTAACATGGGATTCACACCAGATGGTGATTACTTGACACAGACGTTAGTAGTTTTCATGATAGTTGATCAGTATTTGATCTACTTATCTGATCATTATGTTTCTTCGACGATTAATAATAAGTACATGTGTATTAATAAAATTGTATACAAAAATAAAAATGTTCCCAAAGGTGAACTTTTTTTCATTATTATTTTCTATCAAGTAAAATATAATAAAATAAATATTTTTTTCGATCAAAAACAAGATTGATCATAAGTGTATGATCATTTCTTAAAGTTCCTAGATGTACTAGAGATACATGAATAGATAGAAAGACTATTATATTTCTTTTTTCAGCTGTTAATCGTTCTTAATTGAATATTGTAGTAATAGTCCGTCAGTAGTCATTATTATTGTTATTACTATATAAGATTCTAGTTTGCTACTTGAATAGTGCAATAAAGAAGTGTTAGCATATAAAAAAAAAACTAAAGAAACAGACAAGAACGAGAAAGATAGAATAATTCTTCTCTTCTGCTTTTTCTTTTTTCCTCCTATCATTTATTTTTATACTAAGTTTTTACGATACCCATAGATCTCGCCTTTTCTTTCATGTTTCTTTTGTGTTGTCAATAACACGCAAAAGAAAATAATCGATATTATTCTTTTTTCTTCCCTTATCGGATATAGTTCGTATTACTACTAAGAATACAAATTTCTACTCTTTCATATTATTTTTATTTTTTTTTATTTTGAAAAATATCGGTAAGTACGAATATTATGAAGTATATGGTTATCATGATATAGAAAATATTATATATGACAGTAATGGATCAATTATATTCAAGTATTCGGATTAATCATATTCTGCATATCGTGTTATTAGTATTTATGCATCGATGTCTTTATAATGATTAACTATTGTTTGCTGGTTATAATTAAAACGACTAATAGATAATAAGACGTTTTTGTTAGTGTAAGATTAATCTAAAGTATTGTATAATGTGCATTAGTCATAAGTGTTAGGCATACTAGATATGACGGATCTAACTAGTAATTGATTTTTCTGTTTTCTTATTTTTGTTTTTCTCATTGTTAGAAGTCAGGCAATCGAGTCTATCTCAAGGCACGGCTATAATAACTGTGAAAAGGGAAATAAGCAGATTTGTTTTTGTCTTTTGTGGTCTGTATTTCTTAAGGGTTTTTTCGATCAGAAAGTCAAATGTTAGATTACTACATTGTATAGTGTTATATATTTGACAATTCATATTTTTTGCTCGTTGTAAATATAAAAAAGTATGATAAGTACTCATCGATTATTAATATTAGAACAAATTATGAAAGATGAATTGTTAATGTCTATTAATATAGGATCTCTTGCGTTTATTTTCTTCATGTTAATCATTAAATAAAACTGCCTACAGTAGAAAAAATATAGACATTGATCAAATAACAAATATTAATTAATAGGAGTTATATTTCTGATCAGATTCTCATCATGCAATTGAGTTTAAATGGCTTCGCTAGTTTTTTATTTGTTGATTAGAAGTGTTAGTTGATGGTCTTTCATGCCAAATTGGACATATAAAAAGGAGAAAGAAAAGAAAAAGAGGAAATACTTCTTTCCGATTTACCTATAACGATAACTAAGGTCGGTAGATTGTCATCGGAAACGTTTCCGCTTCTTTCTTTTCTCACACATTGTCATCATCATCATCATTATCATCACAATCATCATTCGTGCATAAGATAAGGAATTATCATGCGAGAAAAATTCTTTTGACAAGTCAAATAAAACTGATATATATATATTATCTTAATACGCATATTTAATTATTCGATGACAACTATATATGACCCAGTTTATTTTCGCGTATGAAACTTTTATAATTTAATAAGTATACGAAATAAGCTTTTTGAATAAAAAATTGATCTTTTTTCCGAAATAATGAACTTTAGTTTTTTTTTCGCAATTTATTTTCCTGGTTAAATTCGATTATCTATTCGTGATATTTTCTATATAAAAAACAACTGTTAGAAAAAAAAATTTCTAGCATAAATAATATATATATATAATACATTTAGTTCATCTAATCGAGTGATAAATCGATTACTGCATATATATGCTTAATGATTTTTATCGTTCGTTAAAAGTAAACGTTTTTTTTATATCTTTCATTGTATAAGATAATTTGCTGATGTTAGTATAAGGATGTAATAAAAAAAATAGTCAATTTGAGATTGGATTGTTTAAGAACTCCTTAATATCAAAAGCGATAATTTAATGAGAAAAAAACTATTATTTATTTCACATTAAAAAATGTTCTTTTCAATGTCTATCAAAAAAAAAGAACAATTAAAAATGTTTCCAAATAAAATGAACTTCGGAAGTTCATTTCATAGAATATATTATTTTTGACTAAAACAGATAAATATATAGGTTGAAAGTCTTATTAATACGCCATGTTACATAGTCATAAAAACTACATGAGATAAGTATCTATATTAAATACATTTAAGAAGATATTTATTAACAGCTTCTCCAGACAGGTGTGGTTTATTAAGTACAGAGAATTCTATTTTTATTTAATTAACTAATATTTTTTAAACATAATTTTT